TCCTTTTGCCTTCAATCTTTCCCAGCATCAGGGTCTTTTCCAAGGAGTCCTCTCTTCACATTAGGTGACCAAAGTATCTAAAAACATCACCTTTCTACCAAACAATTACAACTTGTTTAAAACCCTGCATGGAAGACATGTGTTCACTTTCTGAACAGGAACAAAATCCAATCAGTATTACTCCAGGTGGTCAAGATGTAATTTGTTGTTGAGGACCTGAGCTTTTTGTTTTATATACATTTATTTCATAAATATTTTTCTTTGTTAATTTTTGTTTGAGTTTCATTTTTTTCTATCTGGTTACTGATTTTCTTCTGTTTATATATTAAAAGCATTTTAAAATAAATACTAAAAACTCAAGTAATGACAATTCCATAGGATCTATCTTTCTTCCCCTCACCTGGTGCCTAGAGAACATTCCTCCTACATGAATATGGAATGTTAATACAACTGACTATGTAGCAAAACCTATTTAAATCAGCAGGGAATGGGGGCATATTTCTGAACAAAGGAATGCTTTGCAAAAAAAAAAATTTCCTGCATTTTTTTTCCTTCCATATTCACTTTGATGAAAAAGAAACTATTTTGTTTTGTTTTTTCATAGAAAAATGGGTGAAAATTTCATGGATAGGGTGCTAATTTCCTTTTTTCCTTCTCCAGAATAGTACAGGAAATCTAAGGCCAATCTAGATCAAACTGCAAAAGATTCCTTGACAGACCTTGAAAAGAAATGGATGAGGAAATAAATGGAAAAAGTTTTTCACTGTTCCTATATCTGAACAAGAAACATTTCTGAGCACTGTTCAGAATGCATGCTTTGCACAATTTCTCGCAAAAAAAAGTATCATTTTTTTGTCCCAAGCCAGAGCAAATAGTTTTGCATTTTTTCTTCCTTTGCGTTTGTGGAGACTTCTCATGCTGCCATTAAAACTCAAGAAGAAACAGGGAACCTCTCCCAAGAGACTCTGGCAGATTAAGAAGCTGCAAAATGAAGCTCAGATCTGGGCAATGGAGATGCAACAGAGCAAACGTGCCTTCTCTACTTCCTAACAAGAACACCGTAAGCTCTAACACATCATCGAAGTGATTGGAAAGAAAAAATAAAGCTCTTGCAGCAACTACAATCTGTTTTGCAGGAGGAACCAAGCAAGGAGGACTTCTGAAAACTGGAAGACAAGTTTAGGTGCAGAAAAGAACAATTACTACAAATCTTTTTCAAGCTTAGAAAGAGAACTCCCCCGACTGAAGAATATTGCAAGTTTCGCCGTATTGGCGAAGACTTCCCCGCTCTCCCTTCCTGTAAAGTTAGTTTAAAAAGCCCTCTCATCCGAGACGCATTTCTCAGTACTCACCTCGAACGGGGAAATAGGTGAGGGTGTACTCGCCAGGCACTAGGAGGAAAAACACGAAAAGAACGCAGGGCGGTTACTAGCGCGCCGCAGCGCCTTCTCTCCCGCTCGAAATGAACGCGGCGGGGTGCATTTAGCTCTGCCTGGGAGGGGAGCAAGGCGCCCCCAGGACCGCCTCTCTCTCCCGTGCATCACCCCAGAAAGGGAAGGAGAACCAGACCAGCCAAACGGAAACGGGGGTGAGGGGTACTCACTGTCGGAAAAGCTGCGGGTCGAGGCACAACCAAAGCAGGGAGTGATTGATCGACCAGACTTTCTAGCATCTGCACGAAGAAAATGCTGAGTCACGCTCCGCTACTTCGCCTCGGACCAGCCCTTCTTAAAGGGACAGGAAGGGGAAAAGCGCTTCGACTCGGCTTGCTCCTTATCTCCGAAGCTCAGTCGATCTCAGTTCAGCAGCCTCGGGAGTCGAGACCAATCGGACGCTGGAACGTGCCGTGGGAAAAAGGTGATCCCTAAAGACGTGGGGGAGTCGATTGTCTTTTGGGGCACGGAGAGGCAGCGAGTAGCGCTCGTACCGCTGTTGGGTCGTTTATCAACTCAACTTCTGCTTTTAGAGTCAGAGTTGATTCACAAAGTCGAAGGAAAAGTAAGGTGTCCCGCTCCCTTTTCGAGGAACTGCAACTGAGAATGGATGGAAAGAGGAGCAATAGTTGGAGGAAAGAAGTAACGACTGGGGTTCACCTTTGTGGTGCTAGATGACAGTTTTGGTAATCTTTAGGAAGTCGCCCTTGGCTGAGTTCAGCCAGTGCCGCATCACAAACCATGAGTTATAAATCACAATCAGATAACACACTAAGCCACATCATGGCTGATGTGTGAACTCGGATCCTCCTAACTACCAATGAAAAAGTATTGGTTTGTGCAGCAGTCGTGTCTAATGGAAGAACTGATGGGAAAACACTGGAGGGTTCCCTTGCCCAGAGTAAGGCCCAGAGAGAACACAAGATAAAAGTCTTAACTGAGAATTACTCAGAGCTGAGATTGAGAATGAGAAGGGTGGGCCCTAAACTGGCTCTTCCCTCAGGCACTGTTGCATAACCGCATCTATTTGTGTGGTATTGGTTACTGGCCCAGAGTGTAGTGTTGTTATTGATGCACTACTTTTGTAATTTGTTGTTTTTGTTGCTTTGTCAGCTTCCCAGAGTCACTTGGTGAGTGTGTGACCTTAAAAATTGAACCTTTTTTTTTATTGAAGGGCATTGTTTTGATACACAATTTTACTCTCATCAAAACAATGCCCTTCAATAAAAAAAAAGGTTCAATTTTTAAGGTCAC